GAGAGATAGTGATTAATAATCCACTAGGTTTTCCATGAGTAAACAGCAACTAAGAAATTAATACGATTGTGCAAAATTAAGTGATAAAAATTGTCATAGTATGAGGCACATTTGTGTGTAACAATATAAAACTGATGAGCTAATTTGATTGTTAGGACTTAAACGAAAATCTATATAAATTATGTCTTGTCTTATTTTTGGGCTATCCTTAATTTCCATTCCTTTAGCCTTTTGAAAGATCAACCTAGAAGTCCCTTTAACTTATTTTTGCATAGGGGGCATCAATAAAAATTAATATGCTTCGATTCAGTGAGAATGAATAATGATGCGTTCCATCCTAGTACATCAGGCCTGTTGACGAGTGAATAAGGTATCATAATATTTTAAGTCATTTTAAATAGTCAGACTATTAAGGGAAAACTGACCAAGAACTGTTAAAGTAGTACCATCCTGACAATTCTACAAGAAAATGTAGTTGATTGTTAGTTCATATAACCAGATACAAGAAAGCCTATAATATGCGAAGCCAATCTTATCCCAAACTAATCAATGTAAAGTTCGAAAGTCCATTGTACTTATGAAGTCATTCTGATATAACTTAGACAAATAAGTTTTGAATTTAGAAAATTTACTCTATTAAAATCCATCAACAATTTCAAACACTCTATGGATATTTGCGGAGGCTCTCCGATTAAAGGCTTTTAAAAGAATTAGCTAGAGGCAAATTACACGAAGCTTGGATTTACAAAGACTCACAGCTGCATCAAAGCATTTTATGAATGATTAATGCATAAGAAAATTTCCAATGCAAGAAGACTCACTCTATCGGAAAAAGGAGTTTCTTGCAATCCATCAGGTTTTTTAGATTCCACAGGGTTTCCCGCTTATGTACTATTGGTACCTCGCAAGCCCCACAAAGTACCGCCACATTGAGATTAAGCAGGTGTACAGCGTAACGATAGTCGGACAAGGAGACGTTGCGTTGTAGGAAAAGAGGGAAACTGAATATCAGAAAGTTGGGGAGCAGTTGAGAGTAAATATTAAGACATAATTAGGACAAACCAATTAACGAAAATAGAAGACTGACTGATATAAACGACTTAATTCTCTGAATACCATCGAAATATCAAGATGCCTAATTTCTTTTGCCCCAGGTTCAGATGTCAGGTAAATGGGGCTTTATTTTCTAAAGAGAATATGATTCAGACTCTATGCTTTGGCCATACCTGATTGTTAAAAGTCCTAAAAGGCTTACCAAGCTACGTTTGAACCTCCATGGGTTCATCATCAGGAATTAATTAATAGAATATAAATGAAATAATCAAAAGGTTAATAAAAGGTATGAAGACCAAGATGGTGTAACCTTTTGTGTGGTCGCATGTTAATAAGTTTAAACTTTAAATTTAAGCAGTATTGCAATTCATACTAGATATAAATGTAATAAATACAATGACAGACGAATTGAATCAAAATCTTCCCAAATGTATCCATTTAAAATGAGCTAGAGTTTATTTTGCTCTCAAAACAGTCCAGTGCATAGTGCAAAAAGCTGCTAGAATGTTTGAGCTCTCTTACATTTAAATATTCAAGCAATTTACGACAAAACTACTAAAAAATACCCTGATTTTCAGTTATCTAAAAAAGACTCTCATAGAATAAATAAGTTGCAAATTACCTGCGCTCGACTTCATGCAAATCTGGGGAGATTAAGTCTGAGATGCGGACACGGGATCCCCCCTGCCTGTAATCTATTGGATAGCGCAATGGCACATCGAGAACAGCGGCTAGTAGGCGCAAACAAGCAGCAACGTGACCCAACGCCAAAGAGGCGACCTGTGGAGAGTTGACGGCCAGTTGTGAAGAAAATGAGGGCCTACAAAGCCGGTCGTCCGTTGATGAAGCGTTCAAGGTACCTGTTATTGCGATGCCCGTCTGAATTCTGAAAAAACATAGTTCTAAGTAAAATAAGCAGGATGAAAAAAGTCCTTGTTAATCCCTTGAGCTATTTATCTGACTGTACCCTACATTGAGTATGAAACCAGTGATCCCATACAGAAATTCTACGCTAGATCAGGTAAATATATTTTTTAATAGCAAATCTGTTAGAATTTAATTAAAATATGGATAAATTCAGTAACTTAATAGTCCCGCTAAAAAGGGAAGCATAAGAATCTTTTGCTTGCAGTGCTTTTATTTTTAAAAATCGTCGCTAAATACAATCCTTCCAATATTTTCATCTATTTTTAGTAAATCCATACAGATCTGCTATTTTCAAGAGCGAGCTTATCTATAATCGTGCACTTTTCAAATATTTTCCCGCTTCAAAGAAACGTATTATAATAGAGAGCAGACCAGCACGTATTCACTCATAAGGGTGACGTGGCAAGAACTGCAGCAAACAAATGTGTTAAGTATGTAGGAATACAAAAACAACTTCTTCCAGTTCCAAAGGAGCGTTCAATATACTTTCTCAAGCAGAGGAAACATGAATTATAGAGCAGCCCAAAGCATAATATCTAATGTCATGTGAGGCGTTATAGTTATTAGAAAGTGTCTCTTCATGATCGTTAGAGTAAAAATCGATTGGGCAAAGAGACTCTTTATTATCGTAACCATAAACAAAGGCTTTTGGGATGAAGGGAAATAACCGCAGGACATTTATAGATTACTGTTGATAGAACTGCTAAAAATAAATGTAAAAATAGCTTAATTAGTGTAACCGTTTTCAGCAGAACGTTTGTCGAGGGATTGACTACACTTGCCTCTTTGACGAGTTTGTAGTTTGGTGCGGAAAATGACTAAACTCACTGATGATGCCGACTACGATGACAGCGAAACGTTTGAGAATGTACCAAGTCCACTGTCTGATGCTGGGAATTATGACAACTATTATGGCAGACGACTTCGAACTAGGTGCGTTATACTAAATCGCCCTGACATTAAGACCAAGTTGCGACAATGAGGTCAACCCACTTCTTTAAAAATAGTTAGTTGCTGTCACAAGCTAATGATTAGCTTATTTCAAAATTAAGATTATTGAGAAGAAAACTATCCTTGCTATGACAGTCGCATATATATCCTTCAATAAGCTTTTAAAATAAAATAAATTAAGCAATAATGCAAATGAAGTGCCGATTTGATTTACTAACATCGAAATTCAGTGGGATTCAGATCTAGGGCAAATGTTCGCTACTTAGTAGAAGTAGTGCGATATTTAACTGATCTCAGTTAAATGTAAAAAATG